CCKCYTGACTTGTTTACTTTTTRCTTTYTGGCACAATTTGTGGTCATTCTTTTGTGCGTACCTACCTCCTCTCGGCCGCAGTCCCTGTTGGAATCTATTTCTTTTTTATCATTATGGCTGCCTTTCTATCTTGCCCATTTTGACAGGAGTTCAGACTTTCAGTCATAGTTTCATAGATATCTATCATTGCAAGATCAGCTGCTGTCTCACTTTGATGCAAAGGCTTGGCTACCTGGGGATTGGAAGTGCAAAATGGAGTATTAATAATCTCTTTATTTCTAACATTATTCACCATATAATGAAATTTATATTTTCAAAACTAAAGTATTTTACAATGTTCAGGTGTTGAGGCCACTACCCCTGGGGGTCATGCCAGCTCATCTCTTCGTTGGATATACTCTGATCATATGTACCCTGTRATGAAGAACATTGCTATATTTGGAGTTATAATGTTTTATTTTTATCTATGTGACAGGTGGGTTGTTGTGAACATATTTACTTTTTAGCACATCTTAAAATCTAATCCTTTAATGCAGTAATAGCTCATGTTTATGAACCTAAAAAAAGAATTGTTCTTTAWGAACAACACAGGCAATAAGAGAATTCATTCCGAGAGAGTTGTGAACCTGTTGGGCTAAAATTTTCAATTTTTAAAGGTCCCTTTCATGAAGGCAAACATTTTAAGTTAGGTTCATATCAGTGGGGTGGCTGTTGACAGAAGATTTATGTTGTATAATATTTGTAATAAATATATGATATATTCAAATGGATTCATATACATGTGAAACTACCCTTTATTTAAAGCTATTGATATTATTATATTGATTATTGAATTGTGTTGTACACTATTGATTTTGCAGAACAAATGTGTTTTTCAAGGAGCACAAGCAATACAGTAACTTAGTTTTTGGAGTAAGCATGTTATCTTYTCTAGCTTTTGGAGCATATACGTGGACACCAGCAGAGCAGGTATGCYATCCTCCCATTTCTGCTTGTTTAATCCTTGAATACAGTACAAATTAACACTTGTACAAGCCTAGGCATTTACTATGGTTCAAATGTAGATACCTGGAATSCAAGAAAATAAAAGCTGTTAACTTCCATACTTAAATATTAGTGTTTTATAATAAGAGCTTTTAGTTGCAGTTTCCAAATGTATCACTTCTCCAGCTCCACTTTCCCCACATTTTCTTATGGAATTTATCAAACTTGTACAGTGCTGAGATGTTTTCGTGTTTGTAGGTAGTMGTACTGAATCGAGAGCAGACAGAGGAATGGAGAGGCTGGATGCAGCTTGTAATTTTGCTTTATCACTACATTGGTGCAAGCAAGGTATCAAGTTAACGCGTGTTTGTAATGGATTGGGGGGGGGGGAACTGAAGAGAAAGAACGTTATGTTCTTTATCTCTTATAGAGAGAGGATTTAMAAAACTAAATAAATACGAATAATGTACTTACAGGTCATGTAGTTTAGTATTGTTTTTTAATATGTTTGGGGTCAAAATCTACCGAGACACACCCTATCAAGGAATATTTCGATACCTTTCGTATTGTTGTGGTAACGATTATGTAGTTTACGTTATTCCACGAAAAAACCCTCCGTAAACAGTTGTTTTCAATAAACGTTTCTTTATCAGGTACTGCCCATCTACGTGTTCATCCGCCTTCTCGTAGCATCTTACTTGTTCATGACGGGTTATGGGCACTTTTCGTTCTTTTGGAAGAAAGGAGAATACGGCCTGTTTAGGTTTTGTCAGGTAAGTATTGCATAATCTTTGGAGTAGCCTCACATGCAGCCGTTCTTGGTGTTCTTTATTTTTTATCAAAACCTTTTGACTCAGCTAGGATTGATTATACGATTCTTACGCACTGTTTTAGTGTACCACTGGCTAATGAAATGTAAACCCAAAGAGATGGTTTCATATAAAAAACGAAGGGGACTTTGGATACTGAAAATTATTTGCCCAAGCATAGTTAGTAGAGGGGAAATTCCCCTCTACTAACTATGGCCCAAGTTTGTACAACATGGCCCCGTGTAAAGAGGCCATGATTATTTAGCCAATACAGTGTACAAAACTGAATTACTATCACACACCTTGTAGTAGTTATTTTCCTTCCCGTGGTTCCTCGGTCAAGGAGTCGATGCACCCTTCAAAAACTGTTTTAACCCGTTGGTGTGTTGTATCAATTAGATTTATAAAAGAAGTTCTAGATTCTCTTGCAAGCTAACATTAGTGTTAACTCTGTTGTTAGGTAATGACGCGAATGAATATCTTCACAGTAGGACTGTGTCTGGTGATGGGCCGTCCCTACCAGTTTTATTACTTTGTACCACTCGTCTCGTTCTGGTTTGTTATTGTTTATGTCACCATGGCTGTCTTCCCACACGTCACTGCAGCATCAGTTAGAGGTATCAAAATGCATTAGTTTCCYGAATTTCCAGATGAAATGTCAAAGGGTTCGCATGATCTCCGATGGGAATGCTCGACGAATCGGACTTACTTTTCCCGCCTTTTTACAGTAATTCAGGTTGACGCGCGTACCGTTTGCTTTCCCCGCAGTATGTCAATACTTTTAAAGATTTTTGTGCTCCATTTTCCATTTAATTGCCAACTGGAGAGAAGCCGCGTCAAATGGAAAGCGACCCTGCGACATGTAGTTCGTCTGAGGGCCTAGAGGGCTTGTGCAAACTTTGTAAGACGTCTGCAACGGAGGTTACGTTTTCAATGTGCGCTGTTCGCAGGCAAATATCGACATAATGACATTGACATTGCGTCGTGAAACTCAAAATGTATGACTTAAAAAATTCCGTCCCAAGCACAATTGCCCTTGAAATAGTTGGGAGACTGGAACAAGATTGAATTGAATGATGTCACTCATAGCAAACTTTATTTTACTATTTCAGATGATCCAAAGCAATACATATTTATATGGTTAAAATTCTTCGTCTTATTTGGTGTCATATATGTTGTATGGACTTCTCCGGTGAGCGGGTCTGAATTTTATCTACTTGTATATGGCCTTAATTGCAGTTTCAACTGTTGACTTGTCACCTTTCATTGTCACCATCTTCATCTTGTTTAGTTCTCTAGCTATCTGTCTGAGCTTATAAGACCTAGGCCGTTCCAACATTATGGTGCGTTTTCTTAGCATTGCATTTTTTTCCTCCGTCGCTGGGGGGAATTGACGGAATTGCAAAATGCTACGAAAATGTACAAGTTTGCGTTACAATGTCACGTTTTCGGATACGTGGTTTCCTTTCTTTGAGATTGGAGAACAATAAAAATGCTTCGAAAACGCATTAATGTGACCTGGGCCTGGGCTTTTGCCTTACAATTAATCAAGTCGGTCTTTGCGGCCTTTTCCCGCGCTTTTCGAGGACATGCTCAACTTAGCCATTCTTAGCGTGCCTTCAGTTTCCCTCACTATTCCTATCGTTCACGCATAGAAACTCCTAGCACTATTGGCTTGCAGAATGAGTATCGTCGTGACAGCAATGCCATTTAAAGTATTCCAGGTATTATGATACTGAGGATACGATTCTTTACTTATTCCAGGTGCTGTGTGACTGGGTCTTCTCGCAATGGGCTGTAAAAGAATTATTCATTGATGAAAATGATAGCGTAAGGGAATGGAGATTCAGGTCGTGGCTCGATAGATACGTAAGTAAAATCTTTGGTTTGTTCGTGATCGTATTATGATATCACGAAACCTTTCTAAATTTAAAACAACAACTGACAATTTGTACAATTTTTTTGACAACTGACGATTTGTACAATACAGTATTCAAAAACTGAGCTCTGGTAGTTTGATGAAATTACGATTTGGCTAACAATGGCTCTTATCTTACAGATTGTTTTATATGGTATGATATTCGCGTTTGCATATAACACTGCAAAAGAAGTTCGAGTACTGGATGATACAAGTTTAAAAAGATTGTTCAATCCTACCCACACTACTGTWACTCTTTTCCTGTCTGCGTTAGCATTAGTGGTAAGACCATACGAAATTCTAGTAAACCATTATTATACAAAGTCATAGAGGAGCAAATTAATGAAATATCAGGGAAATGTTGTTACAATGTTMTATCTAATCTGTTTAGGTTTACGTGATTCAAGCATTTACCTGTAGCAATAAACCGTCCTGTAACGCTACTCATTCTGTTGCTTCTTGTGTACCAGTAAGTATGCTAAAAAAGTATATTGTAAAAAAGTATGGTATATTAAACTGAGCAACAATATAACGCATTCTATCATTGGTTTACATAACAGTGATATAATGCGACCCCTCACAACTATGTGAAGCGCGCCGTCATTGGCCGATCTTAGCACTGCACATTTAGGCCCAAGTCTTTCAAGACGTTTTTCATCAGGAATTCTCATCTTCCGAGAAGCACTTGTTTGGCAGAAAGTTGAWAGGGCACTTGTTGCGCGAATCTGGAAAAAGCTTGCAACGTGGTGGCGAATAAAAATTTGCGCTAAACGTTGATATAGTGGTACAATGCTATATGCTACATGCTACATACAACGTTGCAGGTTATCCCGTGCAACATATAAGCTGAAGGTATAGCTGACTTGCTAAAGCTACATTTTTTAACATTACCTCCATCACAGCCTTACCACCATCTTCTATTTTCAGATAACTGCATTCATTCTTCTACGAAACGGTCCTTCATTCCTTCGCGCTAAATTCAGTCGTTTCTTCGCATGGGTTGGGACGATTTCTCTTGAGGTAAGATCATGATAGCTTCTTCTTTAACGAATGATGAAGTGATGAAAATTCACGTCTAGTGAATCTAGCATCAACTCTCCAAAGAAATTTCTGGAAATATTTCCCTATAACTTATTAAGCAGACACCCGTTATTGCAGACACTTGATTTCGGTTCAGAGGGCGCTCGATATAACGAGACTTGATTGTAGCTGAGTCATATGACGTGCTAGTTTTAAAGTGTTAACAAATCTCTTTCTTTAAGCTGTTCGTTGGTCAGTACCATATTTGGTTGGCTAAAGACACCAAGGGAGTACTGGTACTAATACCTGGTCAACCTCTACTCAACGTCATCGTCACTACATTCGTTTTTGTATGCATAGCACACGAGGTGCACAAAGTTTCCGCTGTCCTAACCAAGGCCTTGATATCACGTGATATTACCACAATGATTCGTCGACTTTTCATATTTATAATAGCCTTGATTATCATCTGGTGGCACAAAACACACCACACACTAAGACCTAGGTTGAATTGAAAAGTATATCAGTTTTATGATAGATAGTGTCATCGCAATGGCGTGCAGTCGAGTCGAAAAGCCGAGAGTTGACTTTTTAAAGTCTAGCTTGGTAGGGTAGCGATGGGTAGCAGGCAGGTATAGCGAAATGAAATCGATACGGACTGCCACAGAAAAGAACTACTCGCTTAGTTTCGTAACGAGGTCCAACTACGAATTTATAAAAGCGCATAGCCATTGGCGCATTCTACATGTTTCAGCCAATCTGTGGGTTTCTTTGAAAAAGTAACTTAAATATTAAGGATCTATAAGTACGCAAAATGCATGAATGCGAAAATTGCGGAGAAATACAGCGCAGAGCCTCTGAGCAAGGAAACCATGGCAATATATTGAAGATGAATTAATCAAAATGATAACTAGTCACAGGAAGAACGTATTTTTTTCTGATGAATATCTCTTTGAAACGATATGTATATATTAGGGATTGATAGAAATTAATATGATAAATTATTTTACAAAGAAATACAAGGGTATAATAAAATTAAAGATTGTGGCATGGAGTTTATTTATTTATTTATTTATTTATTTATTTANTCCTCCTAGTGGATGCAGGGAACCTACCAACCTTTAATATACCTCCCCATGACTTGTTTACTTTTTTCTTTATGGCACAATTTGTGGTCATTCTTTTGTGCGTACCTACCTCCTCTCGGCCGCAGTCCCTGTTGGAATCTATTTCTTTTTTATCATTATGGCTGCCTTTCTATCTTGCCCATTTTGACAGGAGTTCAGACTTTCAGTCATAGTTTCATAGATATCTATCATTGCAAGATCAGCTGCTGTCTCACTTTGATGCAAAGGCTTGGCTACCTGGGGATTGGAAGTGCAAAATGGAGTATTAATAATCTCTTTATTTCTAACATTATTCACCATATAATGAAATTTATATTTTCAAAACTAAAGTATTTTACAATGTTCAGGTGTTGAGGCCACTACCCCTGGGGGTCATGCCAGCTCATCTCTTCGTTGGATATACTCTGATCATATGTACCCTGTCATGAAGAACATTGCTATATTTGGAGTTATAATGTTTTATTTTTATCTATGTGACAGGTGGGTTGTTGTGGGCATATTTACTTTTTAGCACATCTTAAAAACTAATCCTTTAATGCAGTAATAGCTCATGTTTATGAACCTAAAAAAAGAATTGTTCTTTAAGAACAACACAGGCAATAAGAGAATTCATTCCGAGAGAGTTGTGAACCTGTTGGGCTAAAATTTTCAATTTTTAAAGGTCCCTTTCATGAAGGCAAACATTTTAAGTTAGGTTCATATCAGTGGGGTGGCTGTTGACATAAGATTTATGTTGTATAATATTTGTAATAAATATATGATATATTCAAATGGATTCATATATATGTGAAACTACCCTTTCTTTAAAGCTATTGATATTATTATATTGATTATTGAATTGTGTTGTACACATATTGATTTTGCAGAACAAATGTGTTTTTCAAGGAGCACAAGCAATACAGTAACTTAGTTTTTGGAGTAAGCATGTTATCTTRTCTAGCTTTTGGAGCATATACGTGGACACCAGCAGAGCAGGTATGCRATCCTCCCATTTCTGCTTGTTTAATCCTTGAATACAGTACAAATTAACACTTGTACAAGCCTAGGCATTTACTATGGTTCAAATGTAGATACCTGGAATCCAAGAAAATAAAAGCTGTTAACTTCCATACTTAAATATTAGTGTTTTATAATAAGAGCTTTTAGTTGCAGTTTCCAAATGTATCACTTCTCCAGCTCCACTTTCCCCACATTTTCTTATGGAATTTATCAAACTTGTACAGTGCTGAGATGTTTTCGTGTTTGTAGGTAGTTGTACTGAATCGAGAGCAGACAGAGGAATGGAGAGGCTGGATGCAGCTTGTAATTTTGCTTTATCACTACATTGGTGCAAGCAAGGTATCAAGTTAACGCGTGTTTGTAATGGATTGGGGGGGGGGGAACTGAAGAGAAAGAACGTTATGTTCTTTATCTCTTATAGAGAGAGGATTTAGAAAACTAAATAAATACGAATAATGTACTTACAGGTCATGTAGTTTAGTATTGTTTTTTAATATGTTTGGGGTCAAAATCTACCGAGACACACCCTATCAAGGAATATTTCGATACCTTTCGTATTGTTGTGGTAACGATTATGTAGTTTACGTTATTCCACGAAAAAACCCTCCGTAAACAGTTGTTTTCAATAAACGTTTCTTTATCAGGTACTGCCCATCTACGTGTTCATCCGCCTTCTCGTAGCATCTTACTTGTTCATGACGGGTTATGGGCACTTTTCGTTCTTTTGGAAGAAAGGAGAATACGGCCTGTTTAGGTTTTGTCAGGTAAGTATTGCATAATCTTTGGAGTAGCCTCACATGCAGCCGTTCTTGGTGTTCTTTATTTTTTATCAAAACCTTTTGACTCAGCTAGGATTGATTATACGATTCTTACGCACTGTTTTAGTGTACCACTGGCTAATGAAATGTAAACCCAAAGAGATGGTTTCATATAAAAAACGAAGGGGACTTTGGATACTGAAAATTATTTGCCCAAGCATAGTTAGTAGAGGGGAAATTCCCCTCTACTAACTATGGCCCAAGTTTGTACAACATGGCCCCGTGTAAAGAGGCCATGATTATTTAGCCAATACAGTGTACAAAACTGAATTACTATCACACACCTTGTAGTAGTTATTTTCCTTCCCGTGGTTCCTCGGTCAAGGAGTCGATGCACCCTTCAAAAACTGTTTTAACCCGTTGGTGTGTTGTATCAATTAGATTTATAAAAGAAGTTCTAGATTCTCTTGCAAGCTAACATTAGTGTTAACTCTGTTGTTAGGTAATGACGCGAATGAATATCTTCACAGTAGGACTGTGTCTGGTGATGGGCCGTCCCTACCAGTTTTATTACTTTGTACCACTCGTCTCGTTCTGGTTTGTTATTGTTTATGTCACCATGGCTGTCTTCCCACACGTCACTGCAGCATCAGTTAGAGGTATCAAAATGCATTAGTTTCCAGAATTTCCAGATGAAATGTCAAAGGGTTCGCATGATCTCCGATGGGAATGCTCGACGAATCGGACTTACTTTTCCCGCCTTTTTACAGTAATTCAGGTTGACGCGCGTACCGTTTGCTTTCCCCGCAGTATGTCAATACTTTTAAAGATTTTTGTGCTCCATTTTCCATTTAATTGCCAACTGGAGAGAAGCCGCGTCAAATGGAAAGCGACCCTGCGACATGTAGTTCGTCTGAGGGCCTAGAGGGCTTGTGCAAACTTTGTAAGACGTCTGCAACGGAGGTTACGTTTTCAATGTGCGCTGTTCGCAGGCAAATATCGACATAATGACATTGACATTGCGTCGTGAAACTCAAAATGTATGACTTAAAAAATTCCGTCCCAAGCCCAATTGCCCTTGATATAGTTGGGAGACTGGAACGAGATTGAATTGAATGATGTCACTCATAGCAAACTTTATTTTACTATTTCAGATGATCCAAARCAATACATATTTATATGGTTAAAATTCTTCGTCTTATTTGGTGTCATATATGTTGTATGGACTTCTCCGGTGAGCGSGTCTGAATTTTATCTACTTGTATATGGCCTTAATTGCAGTTTCAACTGTTGACTTGTCACCTTTCATTGTCACCATCTTCATCTTGTTTAGTTCTCTAGCTATCTGTCTGAGCTTATAAGACCTAGGCCGTTCCAACATTATGGTGCGTTTTCTTAGCATTGCATTTTTTCTCTCCGTCGCTGGGGGAATTGACGTAATTGCAAAATGCTACGAAAATGTACAAGTTTGCGTTACAATGTCACGTTTTCGGATACGTGGTTTTCTTTCTTTGAGATTGGGGAACAATAAAACCGCTTCGAAAACGCATTAATGTGACCTGGGCCTGGGCTTTTGCCTTACAATTAATCAAGTGGGTCTTTGCGGCCTTTTCCCGCGCTTTTCTAGGACATGCTCAACTTAGCCATTCTTAGCGTGCCTTCAGTTTCCCTCACTATTCCTATCGTTCACGCATAGAAACTCCTAGCACTATTGGCTTGCAGAATGAGTATCGTCGTGACAGCAATGCCATTTAAAGTATTCCAGGTATTATGATACTGAGGATACGATTCTTTACTTATTCCAGGTGCTGTGTGACTGGGTCTTCTCGCAATGGGCTGTAAAAGAATTATTCATTGATGAAAATGATAGCGTAAGGGAATGGAGATTCAGGTCGTGGCTMGATAGATACGTAAGTAAAATCTTTGGTTTGTTCGTGATCGTATTATGATATCACGAAACCTTTCTAAATTTAAAACAACAACTGACAATTTGTACAATTTTTTTGACAACTGACGATTTGTACAATACAGTATTCAAAAACTGAGCTCTGGTAGTTTGATGAAATTACGATTTGGCTAACARTGGCTCTTATCTTACAGATTGTTTTATATGGTATGATATTCGCGTTTGCATATAACACTGCAAAAGAAGTTCGAGTACTGGATGATACAAGTTTAAAAAGATTGTTCAATCCTACCCACACTACTGTWACTCTTTTCCTGTCTGCGTTAGCATTAGTGGTAAGACCATACGAAATTCTAGTAAACCATTATTATACAAAGTCATAGAGGAGCAAATTAATGAAATATCAGGGAAATGTTGTTACAATGTTKTATCTAATCTGTTTAGGTTTACGTGATTCAAGCATTTACCTGTAGCAATAAACCGTCCTGTAACGCTACTCATTCTGTTGCTTCTTGTGTACCAGTAAGTATGCTAAAAAAGTATATTGTAAAAAAGTATGGTATATTAAACTGAGCAACAATATAACGCATTCTATCATTGGTTTACATAACAGTGATATAATGCGACCCCTCACAACTATGTGAAGCGCGCCGTCATTGGCCGATCTTAGCACTGCACATTTAGGCCCAAGTCTTTCAAGACGTTTTTCATCAGGAATTCTCATCTTCCGAGAAGCACTTGTTTGGCAGAAAGTTGAWAGGGCACTTGTTGCRCGAATCTGGAAAAAGCTTGCAACGTGGTGGCGAATAAAAATTTGCGCTAAACGTTGATATAGTGGTACAATGCTATATGCTACATGCTACATACAACGTTGCAGGTTATCCCGTGCAACATATAAGCTGAAGGTATAGCTGACTTGCTAAAGCTACATTTTAACATTACCTCCATCACAGCCTTACCACCATCTTCTATTTTCAGATAACTGCATTCATTCTTCTACGAAACGGTCCTTCATTCCTTCGCGCTAAATTCAGTCGTTTCTTCGCATGGGTTGGGACGATTTCTCTTGAGGTAAGATCATGATAGCTTCTTCTTTAACGAATGATGAAGTGATGAAAATTCACGTCTAGTGAATCTAGCATCAACTCTCCAAAGAAATTTCTGGAAATATTTCCCTTAACTTATTAAGCGGACACCCGTTATTGCAGACACTTGATTTCGGTTCAGAGGGCGCTCGATATAACGAGACTTGATTGTAGCTGAGTCATATGACGTGCTAGTTTTAAAGTGTTAACAAATCTCTTTCTTTAAGCTGTTCGTTGGTCAGTACCATATTTGGTTGGCTAAAGACACCAAGGGAGTACTGGTACTAATACCTGGTCAACCTCTACTCAACGTCATCGTCACTACATTCGTTTTTGTATGCATAGCACACGAGGTGCACAAAGTTTCCGCTGTCCTAACCAAGGCCTTGATATCACGTGATATTACCACAATGATTCGTCGACTTTTCATATTTATAATAGCCTTGATTATCATCTGGTGGCACAAAACACACCACACACTAAGACCTAGGTTGAATTGAAAAGTATATCAGTTTTATGATAGATAGTGTCATCGCAATGGCGTGCAGTCGAGTCGAAAAGCCGAGAGTTGACTTTTTAAAGTCTAGCTTGGTAGGGTAGCGATGGGTAGCAGGCAGGTATAGCGAAATGAAATCGATACGGACTGCCACAGAAAAGAACTACTCGCTTAGTTTCGTAACGAGGTCCAAMTACGAATTTATAAAAGCGCATAGCCATTGGCGCATTCTACATGTTTCAGCCAATCTGTGGGTTTCTTTGAAAAAGTAACTTAAATATTAAGGATCTATAAGTACGCAAAATGCATGAATGCGAAAATTGCGGAGAAATACAGCGCAGAGCCTCTGAGCAAGGAAACCATGGCAATATATTGAAGATGAATTAATCAAAATGATAACTAGTCACAGGAAGAACGTATTTTTTTCTGATGAATATCTCTTTGAAACGATATGTATATATTAGGGATTGATAGAAATTAATATGATAAATTATTTTACAAAGAAATACAAGGGTATAATAAAATTAAAGATTGTGGCATGGAGTTTATTTATTTATTTATTTATTTATTTATTTATTTATTTATTTATTATTTATTTTATTGGTTTTATTAATTTGTTTATTTATTTATTCATTTATTTATTCATTTATTTATCTGTTTATTTATTTATTTATTTTTTTATTATTATTATTTTTAACCAGTTTTCCCATTTGACTTTGCGTTTACTGGCAATACAAAGTCCTCCCTCGAAAATTCAGTACAGTAATAAAATCATTAGTATATTCAATTTATCGATTTACTACGGTCTGCTTCACAACGACACTGACAACTATCAATAAAGTAAAAAATCACAGCAATAYAYGAATCGAAACTCAACAACAAACTTTCGTGACGAGACGGGCCAGGAAATGACAAACGTAGAATTTCCTGGCCGTACGAGTATCAAAAATCAGTGCGACCCACTCAGTTCAAAAACATTTTGACAACGTTCTGTTGTTCTGTGTTTATATTCAAGTAATAGAAGAATATGTGGGTGGGGCAAGAAAACAACTCATGTCAAATACCATATCCATGACTGAATCTTTTGTGTGCATAATAACGACCTTTAATGGCGGTTGGAATGGTCCATAACTCGCTTCTAGTCACCTAGATACGCGTATTTACCCCACAAGCACAAATTTGGCGATTATTTTTGCTAATATAGTAAATCAGTGGGCAAAAAAGCCAAATATTTTGCTCTTTTGTGAATACAATAAGAGCCTCGCCTTGGTGCATGCGTGCATATTTTTGTCTGTTTGATTGACAAGTATTATATATGGGCTGCCGAGCCAAGACCCCACGCTAGAGATTACAGCAAAAYCGTGGTAAACGGCTCGCTATTCGGCGCTTTTTGGAAGGGTTTTCACTGAAATAAGGACATACACTCTACAGGGAACAAAACAACAACCCACAACGCACTCTAGGTAAGATAGAACTTTGAGATCCAAGCGATATTTCGGAATCCAAACCAAGTAAAGTATGCATCCAGCTCGCAGAAAGGCGCCATTATTGAAAGACAACCACAAATGTGTGAGGCATTTTGCGGCAACTGTCTTCGGCATTACACTTCTAGGAATTCTACAGAAAGGAATCATACATTTTGGAATCTTTCTGTGTTTAGAATTCAACGTATATCGTAAGCTTTTTTGGCTGAGAGACGGAATTGAGATTGTAAATATAATTGGCCGAAAATCGTAAATACTGGCATCGTTGCTCGAACAAAGAACTTTTCTCTCTCAATCGAACGTAATATTTTCTCAGTAGTTAACCTTGGATTTCGKTTTATTTCTGTTTTCTGTTTTAATTGTATTTATTTTTATTTAAAATGCTTTATCTTCTTACTTYGAGTTAAGATTTTTGTGGCATTTAGGTTTTGTTTGCGCTCGTGTTGAATAAGCTTACTTCAAACGCCCAGGATTTGGAAGAAGCTCGAAATATCGGCATAAAAATCTCTAGAGTGCTTCCCAAAGCYCACTTTTTCTTGGTGTTTTCTTTACAATTTGACCTTATTTGACGTAAGAAATGTCTACCTCTCCGTTCTTACCCGTATTTTATCGTTCYTGTAAGCAGTGTGAAGTTTTTTAATTAGATTTCTGGAATGTATATTCTGCAGTAGCCTTGGCATACAACATTCTTATGTTCGAAGTCTTTCACCTATCGTATTATTTCTAAGGGTTATAGTCTGTTTTGCCGTAAATCAAGAAGGATTTTTAGCTTGACCGAGAATTTATGATCGGGTTGCTTTCAAACGAGAGTACCTAAATACGTTGTTTCTATAAACTCAAGCAGGTCGCATCAATCTGATTTCCTTGGGATTAAAATGGCTAGCCATGTTCGTTTGAATTCATTCGCACAGTTTTTTCTACTTTGCTAGCGCGATTTGAGTGTAATCTAGTTTTTTAGTGAGTTAGATCAGTTTTGGGATTTTTACACAGCCAACTCAGCATGCAATAACAATAATAATTCTTCTGTTACAAAACAAACTTCCATTGTCATTCATAAAACTTTCCCTATCAAGTATTTTTCTTCTCTGTATGTGTCTCCGACGAGTCTGATGAATCGACAATAAATTTGCGCTCCACATCGTCCGTTTGYCAAACTTCTTTCAGTAAAGTACAAATCACTTAAGATGATTCTCCCTCTCTCCCTCTTGCCAAAATATTTTCAAACTCCTTGACCAGACCATGGAATAGAAAAGATATCTTTGTCAAATAAAGCACAAGCTTTTTGTATGTTTATGATTTACGCAGAATCTAACTTAAATTCTAATCTTTTCTTTTTAGACCATACTTACAGTAAGGGTCTGTGTCCCTTCCTCGTGAGGTAAGCTAAAAAAAATCGCACACTTTCAAGAGTAAATTGTCTGTTATGATGATCTCTTAATATTTTCAGAATCCTCAAATTTTCAATACTTCGTTGTGGTGTGATTTAGATAATGATGTACAAAACCAATTACAATTTTCGCTTCCTAATCAATGAAAACTAATATTATAATGTTTCCATTTTCTTGTAGTTCTACAATTTTTTTTCGTCTGAGACGATCCGCTCGGACCAAATCTTGGTAAGTTTTCGAAATCACGCAAAATAATATTAAATTTAATTTTGCAGGAATATGTATATATTCTTTAAATGTACTCACGTTTTACGTCTAGTTTTGTGCTGTATTTAGTTGATACCTTCTTAACTTTTTTGTTCCCAAATTGAACTGGTTGTAAAATGACATAATCATGTTTCTGTCAAAAGTGAATGTGAGTAAAAGCATTGCCTGTAGCACTGCGTGCCTCTATATTTATCATCACAGAGATGGATGTAAACATACGTGACTATATTTAATATATCACCTGAATCATCAAGTGTTTTTTGTGTACGCTGAATAACAATGAGCACAAACTTGACCTTTATGTCTCAAAGAACACTCAATATTATACAGAATTGTCGTTTCGCTCAGCTACTAACACATCACGCAAAAAAGAACTYATGTAAACCAACACTGATGTTGCTACAAATTGCCACACAAACAGAGTTTCTATAAAATATGGTATATCTGTAAAAAATCGTCCAACATTTTGATGAATCAAGACAGTTTTTGAGAAAAAGTACATGTATAGAACAAAAGATATGGAAGAGTTAGATGATAGTATTCTTGCAGACATTTTAGGTGGTGAGCATAGTTATTTTAGTATATTGATGGATGTGTATGATACATTCTCTTATATTATTTATGATGTTTGCTTATAAAACATAGTAATTTGGAGATTTTATATTTGGAAAAACTAAAAAGATTAAAAAATACATTGTTATTCTCAAAATATGTTTGAAATGGAAKGATTTTGTCAGTAAAAACCAAAGAGAAAAGAAGCAGTTATTGTAGAAAGAAATGATAAATCAATCAAATTGTTGGTTTTATGTTATAAATATTGTTTTGAAGACAAAGGTGTATGAAATGTGAGTAAAATATAGTTAATACAGAGAGAAAGAGATTCCATGTTGATATTTTTGACATTGGGAGAATATAATACTTCAGCATTCACTACCTATTATTTTTTAAAACATTTATATGCCAAAATTATAAGACAAAAAGACCCACTTTGATTGTATTATTATTGTTTTTTTCAATGAGACTTAACCAGAGTTTGCCTGTCATCCAGTGAGCAAAAAACTGTAGAGAACAAAGAAATAATTAAAAGACAACCCACACACAGTTTGATATTTTTTTCTTCTGGTATTTTCCCAGCCCTTGAAATGGAGACTCATCATATGGGCCTACCAATAGGAGATGCCAACAAGAGCATGGAGACGGCAATGTGGACACAGCAGTACCATGACTCAGGTATCATGTCCGGTGCAACGACCACAGCACACTCAGTCAAAGGAGATGAAGATGATGATTACATGAAAACAACTCACATGGGTTTTGAATGGGAGCAGAGCTTCACCGACACAGAGATGCAAGCCATGAATGAGCAGTTTGTTTCAACAAGAAGGTACAGTACTTTGTTGTTGCTGTTGTTGTTGCATTTTAAGAATAACAAGGAAATGTTTGAAATGACATGATTTGAGTAAAGTTAAAATAGGAATGTGAGCATTTTCTGTTTAGCTTGGTTATCAGAGCGTTATTTTATTCGTTTTGGAAAAGCAATGGAAATGTGTATCTTGCTAAAAAACATCCTTTGAAATACTTGTATGAAGACTGCTCTGAAGAAAGTGCACACTACATTGTAATTTTAGTTTTCTCAAGTAATAGTTTGTATTCAAAGTTTGAGRAATTATTCCCTTTGTTAGGTAGTATGCTTATCATCTATAGTATCCCTAGCACATAGAATGCAGACTTGATTTACAATAGTTATCAACCTGAATAACTAGCAGGCTTTGCTTCTTTCTTTATAAGTCTTCCTTTTGTACTTWATTACAAACATTAGCATTATATAGGTCCATTTTTTGCCTCRATATCAAGGTTTCAACATTCTTGTAAAAATTGTCTTTCAGTCAACGTATMCGTCAGGCCATGTTTCCAGAGACMCTTGAAGAAGGAGTGCAAATCCCTTCCACTCAGTTTGACACAACATCATCTACAGCAGTGCAACGACTGGCTGAACCTTCCTTGATGCTTAAGCAGGCGGTTGTTAATTTGATCAACTATCAGGTACACAGTTTGATTAAACTTTAAGAGAAGTGAATTATTGATTGAGTAGRATATTCAGAAACTTAAATATGAATAGGTTTAAGTTTGGTCTTAAAAATGAAATGAGAATTTGTTATTGTTGCCAATGTGAAAATATATACTTTTTATATTAGGGTTGTCATAAAATTTGTCAGTTTAAACTAGTAATTTCCTTTGTTACTAAAMTAAATTCAACAATATCCTAGAAACAATTTTCATTATTTTTGTATTATTTCATTCATAATTATTTCATTCAAAACATAGATGTCTGCTATGAAAAGTACAAAGAAATTGAAGTCAAATCTAAAATATTGAACCTTTTCCAGAAAATCAGAAAACCTTACCCAAAAACACACATGTTTGAATTGATTTACACCATATGATTTACATCTGTCCTGTTTTGTGATTGCATCAACATGTGAAYTTAGGGAGGAACAGGGCTTGTATTTTGTAATCTAAGTTAACCAGTTGAACTTGATTGAACGGCAGGGTTCCCATCAATGATTGATAATGCACTAGAATATGATAATTACCTTTTGACTACATATGTATTATGTAAGGCATTATTTTGAAAACCCCAAAAAACCTGCTTGGTTTTTAGGATGATGCAGATTTGGCAACACGAGCTATCCCAGAGTTGACCAAGCTTTTGAATGACGAAGATCAGGTTTGTGAAATTTCTCTGCAGTCTTTTTTTTCTTAGTTCTATGCAACTTAATCAGTCTATGAGATGTTTAAAATACAGTATTAAAATTGCTTTATTTGGTTTCATTGTATATCAAAACTCATTTAATATACATTGTAATATTCATTCCCTAGTAAATCCAATGTTATTGTTTTCAGTACTATTTGTCAGTATTCTTAGCAAAGATTATTATCCCATACAAGGGAATTCAAATGACTGCAATCTTAAAACTAATCCAAACTGTTTCTTGTAAGGTTGTTGTTGGTCAAGCTGCTATGATGGTACATCAGCTTTCAAGGAAAGATGCTAGTCGCCATGCTATCATGAATTCCCCCCAGATGGTAGCAGCATTAGTCAGAGCATTGAAYAACTCTACTGATGTTGAAACTACTAGATGCGCTGCTGGGACACTACACAATCTATCCCACCACAGGTATGGCTTACAATACCCAYATAATGCATTATAATATACATTGTACTTTTGTGCGCTGGTATTTTTTAACTTAACATTCAAAGACTTTTCACTTCGATTTGGTCCATTTAGGCTCTACTGTGCCTCTTTGCAATTAGGGAAATCTCAGTGAGCATGCATTATCAATTTATGAAGTTATTGCTTGCTGAAAAAGCTCACACAATCTACACTCAACAATGTTTGGTTATATTTTCACTTGCTCTCTTGATTATAAAAACGTTTACAAGTACACTACTTGATAACCACTCTTCTTGCAATGCTGACTTTTGTATCCTCTTGTGCACATTGGTTTTCATTTATAAACTTGTTTGTTTTCTACAGGCAAGGACTGCTTTCCATCTTCAAGTCTGGTGGTATCCCAGCACTTGTCAAACTACTTGGATCTCAGGTCGAAGCTGTTGTCTTTTATGCCATCACCACACTTCATAACCTTCTTCTCCATCAAGAAGGTGCCAAGATGGCTGTCCGACTTGCTGGTGGATTGCAAAAGATGGTAGCTCTGYTGGGTCGCACAAATGTCAAGTTCTTGGCTATTGTTACAGGTATAAATAGCAGAATATTCTAGTTAMAATATACATCTAGATTACATGGGCACCTGATATAGGTAATAATTTCATCAACTTTTCATTGATAACTCAAAGGAGCACAAGCACTGATTTGATAAAATGTACAAGTGCCCATTATGAGGATTATATAAACTTATAGAAAAAGTAGTTGTTTTAGGTATATTATGCTTATTATTTGAGTAAGAAAAACAAAACATTGGATAATAATATATCAATAAAGAAACTCAAGTTGTCATGTGTAACTCAATGTCAATGGAGCCAGAACATCTCAACAATTAAGTTTCTCTTAACAACATTGGGGTTTCAGTGCCAAATTATCAATGTCAAATCGTAAGTTATAGATTCAGTATAATATTTGTCAGTCGTATATTATTCTTTACGTTTACGTGAAGATTTTGCTGTTATGCATTGGAGATGAGATCTATCGTTCATTTAGTGCTATTACTGTAATAATGATGYATTGTTTCACTGCAGACTGCCTTCATGTRTTGGCRTATGGCAATCAAGAAAGCAAGCTRATCATYCTGGCCTCAGGCGGCCCAGCCGAGCTTGTTCGCATCATGAAGAGCTACACTTATGAGAAACTTCTCTTCACAACCAGCCGTGTGTTGAAAGTCTTGTCTGTTGATACTGACAATAAAATGGCTATTGTAGAGGTACATAAATATTGATTGATTGATTGATTGATTGATTAATTTGCTTATTGATAAATTGATTGATTGAATGGTATAGCACAACTAGTCAAACAAGTAGGCAAATTAATGCTATAAATATTAAATATTAGCTTTTACTTTTAACATTACTTACACCAAAATATTTCTTGATATTCCAGGCAGGGGGAATGAAAGCACTTGCGATGCATCTTGGTCACCAAAGTAATCGTCTGGTACAGAACTGTCTTTGGACACTGCGTAACCTGTCTGATGCCGCAACAAAGGAGGAAGGACTGGACAACTTGCTTCAGATGCTGGTACAGCTACTCTCATCCAACGACACCCAGGTTGTGACGTGTGCATCTGGTATCCTCTCGAATTTGACGTGCAACAATCCAAGAAACAAGCAACTGGTGTGCAGGTTTGGAGGTATTGAAGCCCTTGTACGTACTTGTCTGCAGGCAGGAGATAGAGAAGAGATTACTGAACCAGCTGTAAGTATCAACTATATATTGTACTTTGCTATGGTAATAAAATTTGTACATTTGCTAGTGTTGTCGAATTGTCAAGTCCCGACATAGTTGCAATAGTCTGTTGGCGGTAGTCAGCTAGACAGTAAGCTCCCAGTGGTGTGTGAGAATATAAATCTCTACGCTAGTGTTGTCGAATTGTCCCTACACGTTTCATAACAGAAATATTGGTTATAATGATAATATCATAATAAAAACCATGTTTGCTTGCAGGTCTGTGCACTTCGCCATCTGACAAGCAGACATGCTGATGCAGAGGCAGCTCAGAATGCCGTGCGCGTCCAYTATGGACTTCCAGTACTTGTAAAGCTCCTTCATCCACCATCACGCTGGCCTCTTATCAAAGCTGTCATTGGCCTTATTCGAAACTTAGCTCTCTGCCCTGCTAACCATACACCAATCAGAGAACATGGTGGTCTTCCTCGCCTTGTCCAGCTCTTAATGCGCGCTAATCAAGACATGCAGAGACGACCAGGCCAAACGGCTGTTATTGACGGRGTGAGAATGGATGATATTGTTGAGGGAACTGTTGGTGCGCTTCACATCTTATCCAGAGAGGCGCATAACAGGGCTGTGATTAGAAGTCTGCACTGTATTCCACTCTTTGTCCAGGTACGTACTTTATAAACCAGCGTCGAGATTTACACGTATTTCGTATAGTCCAGTCAAATAATAATAATCTTATATACAATGTAAATAAAATGCGAAAAAAAAAAACACTTAAGAATGAGTATTATATATATTTCACGGGTCTGTTTTAATCAATCTGTGATTGCCTTTTAATTTAGTGATAATTTTTGTTCCGTTGTCGTGTGTGATGTTTGTTTTATAGTGTTTTATATGTAATGCTAGTCTTGCTGCTGTTTCATGTCATATCGCTGTGATCTATGCCTTAATGGTTGTGTTGCCGTTGCTACTGCTGTTGTGTTGGAAGTTATATAGTCACCATAATGTTGTCATTGTAATTGTCTATGGTTACAATCTTTGTCATCTTTTTTGTTGTCGTTGCTACTTCAATGTTTATTGCTCAATGCGCTGTCAACATGGCTGTCAACGTTTTTTCTGACTATGTTMACTTCCTTTTTGTTTTTCATTCATTTTCAACGCTACTGCTTCAGTTATCCCACTTAATAAGATCTTACCCTCCCTAACAAAACAAATATTTCAATCTTCAGTTGTTGTATTCGCCYAATGAGAACATCCAGCGAGTTGCGGCGGGAGTGCTCTGCGAACTGGCTCAAGACAAAGAAGGAGCTGAAGCTATCGAAGCTGAAAACGCGACACAACCATTAACAGACCTGTTGCACTCGAGAAACGAGGGCATTGCCGCGTACGCAGCCGCCGTGTTGTTCCGTATGTCTGAAGACAAGTCRCAAGATTACAAGAAGCGTCTATCTGTTGAACTGACGAGTTCTTTATTTAGAGAAGATGCTGCTTGGCCTGAGGTAGTGTTTTCTTTATTCAAAACATTYGTGGGTTTGTGAAAAAGCTGTTATTTTAGTTTATGACTTATTGTTACAAGGCGTTTTGCGTGGACGGGGCATGTTTTCCGCAGGTTTTGTCAAGTGTTTCTTTTTGGACTCGGGCTAAAAACGTTTCCAAACGTTTTCGTTGCGTAATAAACCCACTAAGACGCATTTTTGTGGAACGCTAGTAAACTGAAAGTATCTAAACTTGCGTTTTCGTGGTGTCGGTAATAATCGTTGTACGCTGAAAGAACCTATTTGCCTCCGGTCAGAAAACTTCTGCTTTGAAAGCCACTTTCATGGTCTAAACCACGTTTTTAAGTAGCATTTATTTTGCTTTTTTTCAAAATTATTTTGGTTCAACACGTATTACGTTCAAACTGAATAAAAAAAATTCGTAAACGCAGAAAAGTCAATTTTGACAAAATATCCCGGCGTTATTCTTGTGAAAATCAGATCTTGAAGATCTTTTTCACGTGGCACAAACAGATTCCGAAATAGTCTTCCACGTTTTTGTCGCTTAACTAAATCAACTAATTGCACAAAAGTTTTTCAGACAAACTCTATGTGGTCTTAACTGAAGTAAACATTCTATCGAGCGTTGCCTTTGAAACTTAGCTGTACAAATAATTGCCCTCCGCCTTCGAGGCATTCCTGTTGATATTGTCGAGATACTTAGCACGCGGCAAACTTCTGCCTCTTTGATGATGACATTTATTGAGTCACGTCCACGTCTCGATAGGAAACTGGGCCGGAAAGGAAACGTTGTCGTCATAATAGTTTTTCTTCCGTAAACAACTCCTTCGTAACTTTTGTTCGTTTGACTTTTWGTTTCTTCACGTTTCTTCTTCTTTTTTTCGATTTTTTTCTTTTTCGTGCTTCAATCTGTTGTTTTTCTTATGAACAATTAATTATTCACCGTTTTGTTTTTACAAAAATTGAATGATTTATAAACTTCTTATTGAATTTTAAATCACTTGAGTTTCATGCAAGTTTTGTCGTTCAATATTAATGGCGTCACAAAAGCAGAGAATTCCTTTTTTTTGTGAATGTTTTGTTTTTCCATGGAGAGTTTTCACAGGTGGTTTACTGTAAAATGGTGTTTTATAATTTATCGCAAGAAATTCCTTCGTATTCTTAAAACTGTCTTTTAGTCTTAGAAAAAAGGAAACTACAGTGCGCTGTGATTTTTGTCATTTTTGATTTGTTTCTTGGGTCCAACGTCCCATATTATTTGGGCAAACGTAACGTTTAAGTGTACATGATATCGGTGTGATCGTACATCAGAGAATCCGGACGTAAAATCGGAATTTCCGTAATGCCAGAGTCAAGTGGATGTTAAATAATTTTGAAATTCATATGGAAGGGGAGGGATGAGGTGCTCATTGTTGAGGCTGCAATTGTATTTTTCATGTCCGGAATTAAATTAACAAACTGATTTTGTTTTCCCCTACAGCACATGGATGGTGACTTCATGGACAACTACCAAATGCCCGGTGTTTACTACCCCCCTGAAAATATGGATTATACACACGGCCCGATGGATTATCAACAGCAGCATTACGGGGACTATCACGGCGATCCAGGCATGCAACCCCCCGTTCACCACCAACCTCCCCCCCACGGTGGACCGTGGTACGATACAGACCTATAGAGAATATTTGACGCTGCATAAACTAGTATATGCCTAGAGCGTGTATTACCAACACCTGAGGTGTTCCGTTTTGTAAAATAACTCAGAAGGGATTGAAAAGCTGTTTTAGCAAATRTGTTTTCTTATTTTCAAGATTTCYTTTCATTAGATGGTTTTTGTTTTGTGGATTTTTTTATTGTCTTGAAGCCAATTTTTGTTAATACAATAGACGAGATGTTAACAAGCTTAAAAACGTAGCAACGTGTACTCTCTAAATCTCGCAAAAAAAGAAGTACCATTTTTTTAATGTAAAAGTCATTTTTGCCGTATTTATTTTTGTCGTGTAAAATTTCCAATACCAATTTCTCAATAATCAATAATTTTCCCTTATTTCCTTGCTTCAAAGGTCGGCGACGCGTTGCTCCTGTGCTTTAGCGAGCAGCTTAATTGTTGGATGATATATTAGTATTTATGTGATAATGTTTGGATATAATAAAGTGATTCATGCGTCGTCTATGAAACCAAAATGACCATCTAGTTCTGATCAAGAACAAAATAAACGAGTCGGAGCTCTAACTACTTCTTCAGTTGGCCATTTTTCACAGACGATGTTGAATCRCGATCCGTTTCAGTTGTTTTGTATCAACCATAGACTTTGTATAAGTAGGGAAGCGCTTTTTATCTATGTACATTATAATGCTTGTGGTCGTGTTTGTACTCGAAGCGATGTTGATTCATCCATTCAAATGATAGTTTCAGCAATAATCAACCAATAAAGTCTTTTATTAATGCCTTAAAGTGTGTTTGTTGTCCATTCAATGAAATTAATAAGTGTTTTGATAAGTCCTATATAGGGACTGTTCGTTAATGAAGGCCAAGAAGGGTTTGCCAAAGAACCATAGTGGGGACTAAATTTTGCGATTGGACTTGCTATGATAAGGAACAATCATTTTTTGCTTGTACAACCTTGTACCCTCGCAAACATTCGCCTGCAGACTGACCTKCTTTTCATGACAGGCGTCGCTGGAGTGATCGCACTTMAACTGCTCAACTGTACAAACTAAATAGTGCTATCAGCAGGGGTCCACGAAATTATCGCTCAATAAAAATCATGATATCAGGGTGCTGGGTGATTGTGCATGCGCTTATATAGACTGAATACGCGTCTCTAAAATTGCAATCTGGAGGGATGAAACACGGTTGTTTGGTTTGCAATGGCGTAGCAAGCTGCTGCARTTGTGCAACCGAGTTTCGCCGTTGCAAGATAAATTGCTCATTTAATCTCTGTCAACGTTTTCCAAATAAATTTGAAAAGAATCCTYTTTTCTTTCCATCAGACTCTTTGACATCTTGTTTATCTTTAGATTTTGATCTGACTCTAGTCTTCATTAGTAACTCCATTTCTTTCTCGTTTTGATTCATAATCTGTTCTTGCTGTYGYTGTCTTTTCTTTAACGCCTCAAGCCGAAGTYTYTCTTCTTCACTACCATCATATTCGTAACTCYCTACTTGTTGTCTTTTTTGCTTTTGASTTTCTARCAACTTTAATAATTCTGCCTCGTGCTTTTCAGTTTCTTGTTCTCTTTGTAGTTTTTCTCTTTGTAGTCTTTCTTTTTCCATGGTGCGTTTCAAATCTTCTTCTTGTATCAAACTTTCGTGGTGTAAATGAACCATTTCTTCTACTAGCTTCCTGTCACTTTGCAAGCTTTTTTGCTTATTCGCCTGCATAGCTACAAAGTTTTCCGAATCTTTCGCAATTTCTTCCGTTTTTCTTTCTTTTTCCAAGTCTCGAGCTTTTTGCCTCTCTAGAATTTCCTCAAGACTACTCCTTTCTTTCTCRATTTGATTTTCAATAACTTTTTTATCTTTATTTCTTTCCTTCAATACTCCACCTTCTTTAATTTCCTCTTCAAAACGGCTAAATTCAGCTTTTTGAAGCKCTAATACCTGTGCTCGTTTCTCTTTCTGTATCGCCAACGCATTCACTTCCGATTCAAGCAAGGCTCGATCAGTTTCATCTTTTTTCTGTATCATTTTTTCRTTTCTTCKTAACCTTTCCTCTTTTTTCTTTTGTTCTTTTTCTAGGAATGTATCAATAGCTATTTCTTTGATATTCTTTTCCTGGAAAGCTTTTGATGCGGCGATAGTCGTGGCTTCAATTGATCGAGCTTCGGCCTCGGCTTCTTCACGTGCTCTCTCCATGTCAACAAGCTTTTTCTTCAATAGATCGTGACGCGTTTTAATCTTTTCTTCCATTTCTTGATCTTCCAGCTTACGCTCCTCTTCCCATCGCTGACCCTTGGCTGCTTCGTCTTGTGTTTTTGCTTTGAAAGTCTCCATTACTTGCTTTTCAAAGTCSATTTCGTGATCTTTCAATAGCTGCATTTCTGCGTTTCGTTGTTTCATCTCCATTTTCGCTCTCTCCATTTCGTATTTMTCTGATTCTTCTCGCATTGCATCGTGTTCTTTGTAGTTCTTTGAGCGCTTTTTTGCTTCTTCCATTGCAACCATTTGCTCTTTCTTTCTTAAGTTCTCTTGTTCCAAAACCAAGTGACTCTCTCTATCATGGCTGAGACTTTCCTTTGCAGCGGACATTTTCTTCTCTTCTCAACTGACCTGAAATTGAAGGTCATTTCAACGTCACGCAACTCTGATTTACTTGCGTTACGCGTGACAGTGTAACCACARTTATTATTCTATAAACATATAAGAGAGCAGCTGGAGATTCTAAAAATACTCCCACGCCGTCACTTATCTGAACATATCCTTGCGAAAATAAGATATTGCAAATCAAACTGATGTTAGAAAAATTATTTTGGTTATTGAATACTGGTTGTCCGAGAAAACAAATTGTAAGCCTTCTATTTATAAGCAATTCCTTCCTATTCCTTATAAAACACAATCTATCTGCATAATATGTACTTTGATATCATTACAAATTTCCATTTTCATATCAAACTTTAATCGAAAAAAATCCCCAAGACTTAACAACGCATTGAAATCTTTTTCAGTTTTTTGTTCGATGATTTCGTGGCCCATAGTGTCAGTAGTTTGCTGTCAAATAATTTCAAGTACGACTCGACTTTGCACGCTTTCAAGTCTGTTATTTAACTATCGAAGCGAGTAGAGTCTAATAATCAATTTGTTCAGCCGTAAATGCGACGGCAGGAATGAATATTTTCAGATGACCTCAACAGATCAGGCATTTGACCGAGGCATATACCCTTCTAAAACAAAAATACTCCAATTTATAACTTACCGACTTCCTATGCTAATAATTGGTAGACAATAAAATAATTTTGGCTTTGATTTGACACCATATAATTCCTGATAGCTTGAATCATTGAGGCATAGTAGGGAAATCCTAAATRTACTCCATGGTAGTYACCAAAATAAATGCGMYCAAACAGAGCCTGGGTAGMTYARGGACGCGTGAGACTAGGTTTTAGCAAGACATTCGTCACTGGGTATAAGTGTTGCCATAACAACGTGTCAATGATATTTTCTCCATTTATATATATGRCGCTACTGTTATTGAAGAAATTCTGGGCTCTAGCTTTTATCAAAATATTACTGAATATATAGGATAATTCAAATATTGTCCGTAGTGTCCATAGTATCCCATAGTATGCAATTATTATTTTTCGCCCGAGAAGTACGATATACAAAAAACCTAGCTCAACTGGTCGTGGGAATAGGGGGGGAGGAAGAGTAGATGGTTTCATAGTGACATCAATTTGTGATCACAAAATAACTCAAATGAAGTGGAGCAATCCATATATACTTCAGCCATGTCCGACAGGGTTGTACAACAATCTCAAACAGAGTCGAAAATAATAGGAGCTCTAAGTTATGAAAAAGTACAAAAGCAAATTTGCATGTTTTTGTCATAACTACAGGTGACAAAATAATCTCTCTGCTTTAATGAAAATTACTTAAACAAAAAACTTGTGCAAATTATCATGTTGAACAACTCCCATGAGAGTTACACCGCATGCAAGATTGACTCGTTATGTTGTAATTACAGTAAAATACTATCAACTTTCCGGAGTCTGAAGTGTTGAGCTACATAAGGTGGACAGTTTATGAACATACTACTTGATCATGGCTGACTCAAATGGAATAGATAGCAACAAGCTTATTTCAAGTACACAAACAATTGTTTGAACGTCACAAGGANATATGGCGCTACTGTTATTGAAGAAATTCTGGGCTCTAGCTTTTATCAAAATATTACTGAATATATAGGATAATTCAAATATTGTCCGTAGTGTCCATAGTATCCCATAGTATGCAATTATTATTTTTCGCCCGAGAAGTACGATATACAAAAAACCTAGCTCAACTGGTCGTGGGAATAGGGGGGGAGGAAGAGTAGATGGTTTCATAGTGACATCAATTTGTGATCACAAAATAACTCAAATGAAGTGGAGCAMTCCATATATACTTCAGCCATGTCCGACAGGGTTGTACAACAATCKCAAWCARAGTCGAAWATAATAGGAGCTCTAAGTTATGAAAAAGTAYAAAAGCAAATTTGCATGTTTTTGTCATAACTACAGGTGACAAAATAATCTCTCTGCTTTAATGAAAATTACTTAAACAAAAAACTTGTGCAAATTATCATGTTGAACAACTCCCATGAGASTTACACCGCATGCAAGATTGRCTCGTTATGTTGTAATTACAGTAAAATACTATCAACTTTCCGGAGTCTGAAGTGTTGAGCTACATAAGGTGGACAGTTTATGAACATACTACTTGATCATGGCTGACTCAAATGGAATAGATAGCAACAAGCTTATTTCAAGTACACAAACAATTGTTTGAACGTCACAAGGATTTTATAACTTATCGTTATTTGTTGTCACTTTTACGTCAGCAGCTCTGTCAATTAACAAGTTATTGATTGGAAACTTATTGCACTAGTATTCAGAGAAAGTTCACAGTCTTCTTGGCGTGGCCGAAGCACGACTGAACGCTTTTCGAAGCAYGATGTGGAACACACTTCTCAAATTCGCTTTATTAACTTCTTTGTTGGARCCGACTCTAAACACAGTGATTTATCCACATTTACAATGGGATCCACGAAATCCGTTGTAAGTAAACTGCCAATTCGTRTTTGTGTTCTTTCGTTATTAGTGACGCTTTCATGGGATGGTTCTAAATCAAACTTGTGGGTCACAGTGATTCTCGGTATTATCTGAAGCTAAATCATTATTCTTACATTAACTGGCCATAAACTCCTAATAAAAGACCAGTGAAACTATGAATCCAAGAACACTTTCGTATTRACTCAATTAGTTGCAAACAAAACTCTGTTTAATAGTTATAGACTGTGCTCTTTTTAAATCTAATTCGTGTTATTTTCAAAATCTGCTGAAAAATGTCGGTCAACGACCTGACTGGTAAAGAAAATCTCTTATATAGCAATACAGCTACAGGTAAATATAATTGGAAATTTTTATAGAGAAGAGAATTGTTTGATATGTTTGAGATGGAAAGATTTGGWAGACATGGAGGATTATTTTCCACTATTCAAAAGACGTTTCACGCAGCAGTATTTGACGATTCAACAATCGAARAAAAGAGTATACAATGTTGTGTGATATTTCTGTTTCTTATGAAAAGAAAGTAATTTCCTTYTATTTGCCCAGCTTAACAAGTGTTAAACAACAAGAAATTGTATTTTATATGGCCATTCTCCTGTCGGTTTGTTAGTATGAGTGCGATAATCATTGCTGTGATTTAACAACGTGATATATAAACATTGACAATTACATTTGTGTAATTATTCCATACTTTTATTCCAAAAAGTAGWGTACTGATGAATAATATATAATTGTATATATGTTTTTATTATTATTTTTTACAAAAATGATCTAGAGAAAATACAATTCATTAGTAATGTTTAAATAAGATATTCTTTCGAACAGTTAATGGTCTTTTGCAGGTGTATAACGCGGTTTAATTGCTTATAGGATAGGTCGTAAATTATTCTAATCCAGTCCAGATCAATAGATTATCTATTTCAAAGACCTGATATACTGCATGCGTAAATGTGATTTGAGTTAGTTATTTGCTAGGCATCATTGCCTTTGTTCGACTTTGCAGAATTTTCAATTATATGGTGTGTATTTGAAGGGGAAATGAAATCAAGATGGCTTTATTGTGTCCTTTTCACTTATAGAAATGAAAATAGTTTCTGGCAATCTAATGCTTTCTCAACTAAACTAAGTTATTGCGTGYCTAACAACAAAGCACTGACAACAATKAGTGAAGTGTGTCCTKCATGCAGTCGGCAGCAATTCATGGAGACTTTTTGTTGATTGCAGCTTCAAAGGCAGTCGCTCTCTTAATGTCGAGACCATGTCYAGAATGAACATCGTCTGTCCAAATCCTGCSCTCGTTCCCGCTAAACTACAAAACACCATCCCAAAAGAACAACTGTACGAAAACTTCTGGATCGTCGACAAATCATCGTACGACGCATGTGCAGTTGAYACCTCCAAAAAGACCAATCGTTTGGTAATGGAATGCAATAAACCACTGGAAATYMATTACTACACAATCGTCTTCCGACAGTTCAGTGCATCGGCAAATGGATTAGAATTCACTCCAGGAAAAGAATATTACTTTATTGGTAAGATTATTGTACAGTTTATAGAAAAATTACTCTCATTTCCACAACAAGAGACCCAGAAGCTTTTGAGTGGGAGGCGAGGRAAATAGAGTGTAGTCCTAGTAAATATGCAGTGAATGCAGAGAAGGATCAAGCACGGGTTGCACTTACTTTGTGAACTATTTTCTCTCCCTCCCTTATTTTGTGATTGCATTTATAATCATGTGTGCCCATTTTAAGCGACATGTGCCCCCTTCACGACTGCCTTGTACCTCTCTGAGTAAAATCTTCGATTCGCGATTGATAATGTCCGTATTACTGTTTTAGCAACATCTGAYGGCAAAGAAGTTTCACTCACCAAGACATCCGGTGGACACTGTGCTAGTCATAATATGAAAATGTCTGTTTACGTTTGCGCAGGCTCCAGCGGTAAGAAATCAGATTGAAGAATGAAAGATTTTGCCATAGAAATAGTGTAAATGACCATTTCTTTACTAATTGTTAGATGCCAAGTGTCAAGAAGAAAGCGCCAGTCCTTCCACAGCTGCTCCATTTTACTGCCCAACAACAAYAGAATCAACAACTACAGCACCGACAACAGTAGCGCCGACAAATCCACAATGCGCAGGTACTCGGCTGTTAATTCTTTATTAATCGTTGCGCACAGGGCACGCCCGACTCTATGTTTACCCCATGTGTTTAGCCGATAATTAATGAATTGCCAAAAAAGTAACAATTATGTCAAGCGAGGTAGATTGTGCACAGCGCATGCTCATGTTTGATATTCGAGTCTATCCCACATGGCTTAGTGCTTTATCTCTCAAACTACAATTGTATTATTTGTGTTGATTGCACTTTGCAATCCCGAACAAGAACTTAGTTGTACTTTGTGACCAAAAGTCCTCCTTACATTTCCAAATGAATGATTAGATTCCAGCACTCTTCTATCAATCTACAACAACACAAAGGCTACACCAATGATATMCAATCAGACGTCGCTAATCCCTGGTCTGGTAACCGCACTCCAAAGACTTGAAGAAAAGCTTGTCACCATGGAAACGAAATTAGACAACTGCACGTCAAAGTCTTCTAGCTGCTCTGAACCCGCAACGTCTGCCCCTACCACCACCTCCGCACCAACTACTACCACAGCGCCTACCACTACATCTGCCCCTACCACACGTAAGTGAAATCTTTAATTACACTTGTATTTTCACCTTAATTGCCTATTAGCCTGAGTTTCATTCAGCGTTTACTCGTAATATAAACCGGATGTACTCAGGCTAAATAGTTATGCGATAATGAAAGGAAATTGCAACTATCAAACACTGACGCGAGCTTTGAATTACACACTTATCGTGATTTTAAATTTGCTGTTATGGAAATGAAATGAAATTGCTGTATGGTCAGTAAACTTAAATACTAATCTGACCTAATGATCTGAYTTAGCTCCTATCCCAGAGTCCTGTTCGGCCGCCTATGCAGCAGGTTCAAGAACCAATGGCGTCTATAAAATCAACCCTGGTGGCCTGGGTGCCTTTGATGTGTACTGTGACCAAACAACTGACGGAGGGGGGTGGACTGTGTTCCAGAAACGTTTCAATGGCAAAGTGAATTTCACAGGTAGAGGATGGACTGAGTATGTGAATGGGTTTGGTAACGTATCAGGAGAATTTTGGCTTGGTCTTGATCATCTTTATCGTCTCGCGTCCACACCTGTCAAGCTAAGGATAGATCTTGGTGCACCGGATGGCGAGAAACGATTTGCTCTGTACTCCGGCTTCAAAATCGCTGATAAAGCTAATAAATTTACATTGACTGCGGGTTCTTATGTAGGTGGGTGTGATTCATTAACAATTTCCTTATTCATGTAATATCATTTCCTTATATATATGACATATCCACATATTTATATATAATATCACAAAATATTCAATCAGAATCAGGTGAAGCTTATATTATTATGGTTTATGTTACTAGGAGGAACTGCAGGTGATTCTTTGACWTTTTCCAACAACGCCAAATTCTCAACGTTTGACCAGGACAACGACAATTGGGCGGATGGTAGCTGTGCAACAATGTTCAAAGGAGCATGGTGGCATGCAATATGCCATGAATCGAGTCTCAACGGTGTCTATCGAAATGGCTCCCATCCGACGAACTTTGCCGATGGCATTATATGGAAATCTTGGAAAGGCTATTCATACTCCTTGTCACAGACAGAGATGAAAGTCAAGCCTTGATTGTGATATGTTACTAGTCTAAGGCCGCTTTCCATTTGTCAGAACTGGCTGGCCAGACCCAGAGAAAATCCCATTATATATCTTTCCTGTTCAGTTGAAAAATCAATTTCTAAATTCTAACCATTATTCAATGGAAAGCTTTGAAAATGACTTTAAAAATATTGAGACAAAAAGGATTATTTACTTCTAAATAGACTGGTCGTACCAGCCATTTCTGACTAAATGRAAATTATATAACCTATGAGGAAGAACGGATTCTAAAAATGGTCGAGATAAGACGGCCCCCAAATAAATGTTTGATCAGCAGTCGTGTTCATGGTTATAGTGTCTAGTTGTTTCACGGGGGTGGGGTGGGGGTAGGGAGCTCAACGATCGGGCTTGAAACTAACCCTAATAGGTATGCATTAATTACTCACTTGAGTGCTGATATCAGATCTTAAAAGTTATATGCTAAAAGACGTTCTCTTTATGGTTCTTAATATATAATCACTTCGGCACACAATGACATTCGTGGGTATAATGCAGCTGAGATGAGGCTGCAACCACGAATGCAATATAATCCTATGTAAATTTATCATTAGTTGGAGACCGTTAAGAAGTACCCACCCCTAATCCCTCCCCGAGAAATTGCTGCTTTACAAAGTGTCTAAAGCTGTAATGCCGTCCAATAATTTACTATACTTATCCAACAATGTTGGATGGTATTAATTTTAGAATCAAATATCATTTTACGCATCCAGTTTCGTGCTGTATGTATTTATTTATTCATTTGTAATACAAATAACATATAATAGAAGATTCATATACCTAAACACACTGTAAACCTAATAATTATCAAAATAATACTCATATAGTAGTGCGTTTTGTAGCAATTCGTCTCTAATAAACATAACTGTGAGTTACTGTGTGTTGTGATGCTCCTACACATGTAGGTGTTTTGTAGATTGGAATTTAAGTATACATCGAGGCCCACTTAACTATTTAGTGTCTTCACTATTTAGTGTGCGTAAAACATGTTAGCACGAATTCCGATAACCTTAAAGAGTGAGGTACGCCACTACGCATGCGCGCGTAAGACGGCTAAAGACGAGAGAGTAGATTGAAAGTTGAATCCGTTGCAATCTTGGATCTATTTCACCTTTCAGTGCATTTTCAAATCAATTAAGTATTTGTTTATGCTAGGGGAATCTTTTTTCTTCGTGTAGACGTTATAATTTTTGGAAGAATTCAGCAAATAGTTTTCAGTCGCTTCAGCTAGCAATAGCTGGCTCCCAAAGAATTCAGTTCACAAGATAAAAACTTACCACTCTCTCAGGAGTACTTGCAAGACTCTCCATCAGCAAGCCAAATGATAAATGTGCCGGAATTGGCTGGATTTGTCAAAAATGAAATACAAATAACGGAAAGTATTATTCTGGAACCGAAATTTGGCATTAGAGCCCGTGACTCGACCACTTTCGCGCCAAAGCTAAATAGACGTTTCTTATTGGTTCTTTTGAATTACAAACGACAGTTACTGGAACATGCGCGTACCGTGACAGACTCACTATAACGAATGTGTGTCCGTCTAAAGTGAGCCTGCGTACATCCGGTTTATTCTCTGACGACTAAACGCTGGATGAAACTCAGGCAATCTAAAGTTCAATATACAGATTTTTGTCGCGAAATTTGGTATCAAATTTAATATTTCACAGTATGATTTGAATTTGCTTAATTCTTTATTTTATTCGTCTGTTTATGTTCATCAACATTTTCGCTTATCAACTTGAAATCGAAAATCTCAACCCAAACATAACGTAAAAAGCTTATTGTGCATTGGCTCACCTTTAGAACGAAATATAATATGGTAACGATATTATATTATCTTGCTGTTTAAAAACGGTGCGACAATTATTTTCTAGCTTACTAAACGCCGTGTACATCGCGTGTACAGCAACATAAAGACCCTTAAAAATTAAGCACCTATTAGGCAGATTAGCAAAAATCTAGTTTCAAATCATGCGCAATGTTTTACAGTAAATTGGTAAGAAAGAATCGCTATTAACTATAGTAAGTTGTATGTATCGTTTTCAAACATTCCAATGAGGGCAAAAGATACCGGCGGACATGTTGGAGCAATGAACAATAGATCCAAGATGGCCACGGTGACGTATAGTGAAAACGAAGAATAGCAGTATATGCTTGCTTTGCAAGTGTGAGCCGTGTACCTCGATTAGGCTATATAATCCTCTGTACGCCTGTATATCGTAACAGTCATCTACTGAACCCATAGATTTAAAGCATAAGATTGCTTTTGACATGACGATGTCCCATAGTCTCCAAAGTCACAACCTGCACTGGTACCAAATTTCCCAGCGTTTTCCTCTGTGACAGCAAGCCCGTGGTCAGCTCTACCGCAAGCACTTCCGACACCACCAATGGAAATCACCGCTCCATCTCCAGCACCATAGTCACACCAGAATCCAATTTTATTTCTAGTAAGTACATCGCCATCACAACTACTCTGGGAAAATCCTACCGTTGATTGGTACTTCCCGCCGTATGTTACCGCACAATTACCAAGACATTTCTCCGAGGACCAAACCGCTCCATTTCTAAAGTTGCCATAGCTGGAGATTTTCTCGCGAAATGTCATGTCGCCAAGACAATTTGACGTAGTTACCAAGAGGGGTGTGTGGGTAGGATCGTCTGTACGAGTAATCTTGATTTCTCGTCCTTTCTGTGTCCAGAAGGCGGATGTGATCATATCCAGACTACCAACAGTACTCGTTTTGTCTCCCTGGTCTGTGGTTATATCGTACCACCACTCTCCATTGTACGCCATCCAATTCTTGGTGTCGATATTGGAGAATCGCGCAATCAAAACCCATTCCTTGTTTGGTGTTTGAAAATAATGAAGTTACAAATGTATTAGTCTTTGCTTATTTATAACCAAGCATTGTGATATGATTAATTAATCATCAAATTAAAGTGTGATATAACTTAGTTCCTCATTAGTGTATTGTTGACATATTCAAACCGTCACTACGTAACTTTAAAGGCCCACGTGCATCCATGAATCTTTGCGATCGTTTCTTTTGTTTTGCAAATAAACTTTTGTTGAAGTTGCTTTCTGATTGGTTCAAATCGTATGTGAAAAAATCGCGCGAAGGTTCTGGGATACACGTGGGCCTTTAACACCCGTTCCCAGTCTTTATCGGTTTTATTGCGACCAATAACTGACTTACCTTGGCAGATTCACTACTAGATGTAGAGGTAACGTTACCTACAAGTCAAGTATTTCCGAGTCAATAATATTAGTTTTAATGAATTTGCACGCCTTGATAGAATTTCCTAGAAAGAATATTTCGAGGATCAAACTGCTGATCATGGCGAAGGGAGGGGAGGGTACAGCTAACACCCAGACTTCAGAGCGTATCGGTCTATAATATTGGACAATGAATAGGCGTGAACTTCAGTGTCTGGCAAATATTTCAAAGGACTTGCTTAAATCATCTTCTGTTTAATCATGGAATACTGTAGTTAAAAAATGATGAAAAAAAGATTCAACACTTAGCCGTTTATTGTTATAAATGTATTTACCGGTTGCATTGGGATTGTCAGCGTAAATGGAGTCGCTGTGCTGCATTTTATTCTCAGGCTTATCGGATACCTTGAGCCGATTGTGATGGCACAAAGAATCCCGTAAGAAATAGTTGATGCTTCTGCATTTCGTACTGTAGTTACTGCTGTTGCACTCCGAATAGCATTCATAGAGAGTGGGGACTTTGTAAGCCTTCAGCAAGCTTCCCGTCATAGCTACACCAGGAATTGTTGGAAAACTATTGCAAGAAGCTTGAACTTTAAGAGCAAACAAACTGCATAGTGTACCATAGTAAAGTATGAATGATTTCATGGCAGGTCTGGAGAGAGGAAATTGAAACAAGAATATTATGGACTATAATTGATATATGATGTATTTGCAATTATGGGACGAAACTCCGAAGGGGGAACTCCGTTATGGAATAATACGGCTATGCATTCCACCGTCGAATTTTCAAGAAATCAGTATTTGCATCCAGGAGACAAAAGCACAGATTGTTCTATAAAACCCGTATAGAATAGTATTATCTATGAAAAATTGTAGCGCTTGAAAATTTTAATAATTGTTTCAAAGTATATCGTCATAAATATATTGAATCCCATATCTAAGAATTGAAAACCGTACAGCCTAGAAATTCTTTAGTTAATGCCCCTTTATCTTACTGAGTGGGTACTGAATAGCCGGAATAGACTTTAAGATGGCGGTCTTATTGGTAATAAGGTCTTTTACAGCTGATAAATTGTTATTAAACTCATCAATAATTCATGAACCATTACTCCAATAAGGGCTGCATGCCTATTTGGTCAGGTGATTGAATGACCTATCAGACAGATAGCAGCACTCCATCATCCAACAGATGGCTTGCTTCCATGTGGGATAAACAAGTATTCAAAATGTTCTTTGTTACAGTAAATTGCGCATGCTTAATAGCGATTTAACTCAGCAGTTACCTTGTTTGTCATTTTTCATTATTTATCTCACTGTAATTCATAATAATTAGTGTTGGCGTTTCATAAGTCGTTTGCAACGGCCGCTCATATTGTAAACTATATTTAAAACGGGTCAGTTCTTATTAACAACATGGAGCGATACGTATTATCTGCATTCATAAAGTTACCATCTTAAATTAATTATTAACCAAGTGAAAATATCAACTTTATATCGAAAGGAATTGTTATGACAGAATATCTTTTTCAAAGAGATTAATACCAGATTGTACTCGGAAAGAACTATGTTAATCTGAGGTTCTCGTAACTGATAAGCAAATACAAATGATAAAAGCGTAAATTAATGAAAAGAATTCGCCAGAACGTTTTTCCTTTGATTTCAGATCATGTACTAAACACCCTCTCGAGCATAGTCCAGTTTCAACATCTTGTCTATTTTTTTTAATTCGCTTTTTCTTTAATCCTTATGATTCATCTGTTAGTTTTATATATTTTATATATTTTTTGTTTCTCATCTCGTCTCTTGTTTCTGTTATTTGTAGCCGGGTAAAGATTTCAATAAACTTCCTCGAAAAGCGAAGTCGGTTAATGTTTTTAAAATATAGTTCGAAAACTTTTTAAACTCAGCGTTCTATAATGTTCGTTAGATGTAGTTACCCGCAGTTTGATCCATGGTGAAAACAACTGATTTGATTAAGGCTTGTTTCTTCAAAAAAGAACTATCCCTAGCTCTCTTAAATGAAATGAGAACAAGACGAACAGATAGGAAACATTTACGACTTATTCAAGAAAAAAGATATTTTACTGTGGAGTCACAAGTAATCTCACGAACCTGTTTTATTTCTTTTGCATTCCTCTTCCTGAGAGTGGTGCACCTTCTCAATCAGTCTTTAATATTGATAAGTAAAGATGCGTCGATCTTGCAAGCCATAGCAACGTGACGTCATATCACTTCATTAACTATATAGACTCTTCCACAGTCTCCTTCTCGAATGTTTGGTTCAGGAACGAACTCAACCCTCGAAAAGCATTATGGGACGTCATGTTAATGTACCTGTGAAATACATAGCTAACAAAATAATACTAATTGTCCTAATTCCTTTGTGTTATGTTGTCTCATAAACACTATTAAGCTTTAAGAGTGCGAATACTAAAGCCATGAAATAGAGAGTGCAAGCACATTAAAGCCGTGAAACTGAAAATTTGACTATAAACGTTGTTGAAATGTTTATTCCCCTGATATTTCTAGGGGGTACATGGAACAGTAGATATTTTTAATAACGTGCGGCTGCCTTCTTGAATTTTTTAAAAAAATATGGAATGTCCAGGGTGCAAAATCACACATTATTATACAGATTCTACTGGAAATTGCCTTCACTGATAATGCTACAATTGATGTTTTTACTTGTTTTTCATGTTTTAATATATATATTCAATCTCGTTGCATTCTAACAGCCCTACAGTCTATGAACTTCTTTTTAGTCCCCCTGGGCGTCCCATAGTTTCTTAAGGAATTTACATTTCAATGAAACAATAGAATTCAAGATGGCGGGCGTATTGGCAAAAATGTCTATTCATGGACAGATGCATGCATTATGAATGAACAAATTCAGTAAAATGCAAATGGCAGAGAATGTAAAATGGTGCAGAATCTAAATAAAAATAACATATGAAATCAAATGAAAACCAAATAAATTACAAAAAGACAACAAATGAAAATTAATAATAAATAAAATTAGTAATTAAAAAATAGTAATAAATGTATAAATATCAAGTGAATAAATGAGAGAGAAAATTTCCCTGTGCATTGTATTTCACCTGTGAATTAATACAAAACGTGTGAGCTCCCCTGTAGTAATTTGCTCACAACATATCGTAGTATCAAGAATCAAAGAGACGGCATCAACAACTGATAGTAAACAACAAGGGATCATACAATGTTCAGTTTGACAACCTTCCAAATCATGGCAAACAAATGAGAGGTAATCAAAGTATTTTAACACAACTGAGGTCGAACCTATTTGATTCGGTGATGTTATCACCGACGTCGTGGCATGCATTAGAATATTCTAGTACAGACCCTTTTCAGTTTTGTAAAAAGATAGATTTAACACCGTAAAAAAAATAGCTGAAACAACTTACTGACGTTTCGGACGTTAATCCTTCCTCTTTTTACTCCGACGAAGGATTGCATCCGAAACGTCAGTAAGTTGTTTCACCTATTCTTTTTTTTTACGGTGTTAAATGTTATCTTTTTACACAACTGTTTCTTTAGAAACACCGACTCAGCTCACACTAGTTTACCGCTAGTTCCCACCATTCAGACCTTTTACATCTGTCGTTATATTAGGAGAGGCCGAGATCGAGTAAGCAAATACAACGTTCTATTGGCAGGAGGAATGTGTTCTTTTGTTCCTGCTCAATTAAAGATGCAAAGGGTCTGGTACACCACAGATCGTTCAATAATAACCAATCAAAATGAGTCACAGAACACCATATATGGTCAACACTTTATGAACTACTTACACTCGTAGTCTTTCTAGGGAGATCTGAAAAATAAACATCAACATTATGTGATATGTAGAGCAGTTCACGGCATGTATATGATGCTGCCGCGTGTCATGTACTTTGGGTTTCCTGTGTCTACAGGGAGCCCACAGAGAGAAAAGTGTTCTTACCACAAGACAATTCAATAATCCTAAGCGCCATCGGCAAAAGGTCATCAAAAGATTCAGCAGTGTACACGTATTCAGGCTTAGTTGCCATGCTCCCGAGTTCATCGACATCAATCTTGCCCTTTTTACCGATTCCTAGAGCATGTATTTCAACTCCTTTTGCTTTAAGAGGCTGAGCGGCGATGTCCAATTCTGTGTAAGGGTCTCGAGTTTTTGTCTGTTTACCGTCCGTGAAGAGAATCAGGATCTATACGAACAATAATAATATTTTAAATTTTAATCTTTAAATTTCTTGTAGACAGTTGTGAAAGGACTGTGATAATCCAAAGGATTCAACGCGATCAACATTTGGTGCAACAAACCTATCCCCTCCCCATGAAAACACTCAGCAATACTCAAAAACGGAGCAATTTTACATCGCTCAATTCTAAAATGTCTGTCTGCGGTCCTGGATACAGATCACTTAAAAATTTTCTAGAAAAAAGTCTTCTTTGTAGAGAATTATATCGAATGAGAAGTATATCGATATCCAATAGAAACGCACTTTTTTCTTGTCCGGTCTCATTCCATTCTCTTCTGTGAAGACCATCCTGTTAGCTGTATCTAACCCACGATCGATATACGTCATTCCCTTCCACTCATTATAATCGACTTCATCAATTTTTGCATTAATATTCTCAGGAGTTCGGGCTGCTCCAGTGAAATCATCAAAGTCAACCACGACCGCTGTATTTGTGGCGTACATCACAACAGCAAAATGCGATCCCTCTTCAGAAACACCAAAGGAGTTCACAAGAGACTTAGTAAAAGCCGCAACCTTTGGCCATCTCTTCCTACCAATACTACCCGATGCATCAAGTAAAATGGCGACGTCTGCAGGTTTTTTACAGGCTGAAAATATATAAACATCAATTAATGATGTGATTGATTTCAAAATATTACTATTTTGAGCTAAGTTCAATAAATACACAATTTCAAACGGAAACCAATTTCAACAGTTATTGGCTACAAGATTGAAAATTCCTTATTTTGAATGCCAACAGATCGTTTGTTTTAAGCGGTTCATAATGTTGATTTAAATTGTTTTAAATAAATTGGGCGCATGGGAAGAATTATAAAACAAGCATTGCAGACTTCCACAACCCGTCGATACTAGAATCAAAACCAATTCTGGACAATGAGGTCCGTTTCAGACGTCGATCTTTTGCCGCGTCTAATCTATTTACTTGCATGTAGTTTACGAGAAGTTGAGATGGCTGTATAGCTTAAATAAAAATGTTTCCTTTTGAAATTTTGCGTTTATTGAACTGAGCTCAAAATAGTTTTGAAATAACTATATTCGCTACTGAAATCACTCAATCGTGTTTTTGCTTGCTCTTTTGTTTCTTGTGCCAATCTCATTAGAATATTAGCAAACTCATTAGCATTTAAAAAGTGGGTTATGCGAATACGTTCTACTATAACGCTGTATAAAATCTTTGATATGTAACGCGCGCTCTGATTGGCTGACGACCGTGTCTATATCAGAGGACAGAGACACGGCTTACCGGCAAAATTTTCTTTTCGCTCGAAAAATTTTATAAAAGAAATATAAAACGGTCCCTTGTGTCTCTGTCCTCTGATATAAACACGGTGGGAGTTGAAAAACACTCGAGAAGCAAGAGAAACACTCGCTACGCTCGTGTTCCTAACCTTGCTTCTCTCGTGTTTTTCGAACTCCCACCGTGTTTATATCAGAGGACAGAGACACGCGCGCCGTTTTATATTTCTTAAATATAGAACAAAAAACAACAAAACGCTCTATATAAAATGTTAACATAAATAAAGCGCGAGATCATGGTTTGTTCTAGAGGTTGTAGCCTACGTATGCAATATGATCCTATATCAAATCAGCTAAAACTGAACAGACAGCTGTAAACAACTCAAGAGACACTTGGCATGATTTAGCATTTCGCAGTAATAAAGCTCTTGAAAAAGATGACCTATTTGATCTCCTTCTGAACCACTTACAGAACTGGAAATATCACTAAGTTGACCACTATAGCGGACATCATGTGTCATCCGTAAGTGTTTTAAAAGAAGGAGTATGTTTTCATAAAACTTACACCTTTACAAATGGTACAAATTAAATACACTGCTTCGCTCTCCTTCAATACAATGTTGGTATAGTCCTCAAAGGAAGAGATGCTGGTCATTACTTCGCGACCTTAGCATATAACTGAGAAACGGGAGAAGAAAGTCATGGCGTTGAAATGCAATTTTGGTTTATTCGCGACGACAGTTTTGTCCCAGATTGGAGTTTTACAATAGGATGATACATCCTTGTGCTCTTGACTTGAAATGATATCATGAAATCATAATTTCCTGGATTGTTTGAAGTTCTGGTCGGGAACATTTCATACATTGACCACTAGTAGCAATAAGGCAGCCAAGCAAATAGATCAAAGAATTCATCTTATTTTATCTCACTAGTATACAAGAGTTGGTCAGGTCAACACGATGGGGTCAGCCCATCCATGATTACAACAATCTATTATAATCCTCGCATGCAAGGATACTTTCAATTATCACGCCTATTCAGGGGACTCAACTGCTAAGTCACGAGATTCTCCTCGGACCATGAATTGTGAATCTACCAACTCAATGGAATCTTAAGAAAGACTTGAGAAAGATGGCAACGCTATAAAAGAACGTCAATTTTTTACTTTCATATTCCAAGGGTAGGTAGTAAGCAAATCAAAATTGCGGACATTCAAGAAGATTACGGTTGAGGAACTCTTAGAAGTGAAGTCTTCAGTATTGCTAATTACCTCTAAATATGCAATATAGATTCATATCATAATTTCTGTTGGTTATAAATCCTTTTGTAACACGCGTTGGCACCGGTAGGAACAAATATCTAGGCCAAATCAAACTTAAAGTATCAGTGAAGCCGGATTTTTGCGGGTTGTCTTGGAGTATGAGAAAGACACGAGCCAGCCTGCGATATAGTTTTAGCTGCAATGATTCGCTCTATGTCAGCCTTACTGTAAACTCTATTAAAAATATCAGCCAAAAATATCTTTCTTTTTTGAAAACCACTCTAAAGCCGTGAAAAGAAAAGTGCAATTAACATCTATAGTAAGGTGTGTCATGTTCACAGGTTTAACGTCCTCAATCTATTTCGTGTATGAAAATCTCTCTAGTGTTTCCGCGCTGTAATTCAATTAGCAATAATGTACTTACTCTGCGCTCGTACATATACCAACGTCAAGGAGAATAAGCACAAGACACTCAAGAGCCGCGCCATGTCCACAGTCGGCGCACTCTCCTGTCTGTGGCTTTATTGAGTCACAACTTGATGCAGCGTTGGCTGACTGTGCAAATGATAACACATGATATGGCGAATGTCACTTGTCAAATCTGACCAATAACATGTCATGTCGATGGATGGCACACGAGAAGTATTTGGCTTTCTGTTTTAGGGTATTTCACACAAATACGCAGTTTTTCTGCGTCCATTTTTTACGAATCTCATGCATTCAGTTTGAGCGATGTCATACAGCGACGATTCAATATGAAGTCCAATTGCGGCGTCAGGGTTTTCGATATTTTACAAGACATACTGTGGTCAATGGGAAGGTAAGGCCCTGGAGCAAAGCCTTAAAGCATTAGAAAAGTGATTATAAGCGACATGCGCAGACAGGACCTTTCAGTTATATAACCATACCGCTCGCAGTAAGTGCCATCCAAAACCCATATATTATATTTGGATCTGCCTATTACTCTACAGAACCCCTCCCCCCCCCCAGCTTCTTTGCTATGAGCGAAGACAAGTCAAAGACTAGACAACTACCTCTCTGGACTAGTTCAAACATATTCTAAATGTTTCAAAGGTCATTTGCGTGAGGGTTGAGAAAAACAACGTATGGCCGGCAAACGTTATGGTAAAGGGTCTATTTTTGCACAAGAATATATATATGCCCTTTCCGTTCACGATTATCAATAGACAGCTGAGCAATGCATAAGATAAGCTGAAAAACGCAAATCAAAAAGATCTTATATTTGCACTTTGTCTGTTATCACACGATCACTGACCACGCAACAAGATATTTGACTTAACGGTTATGTAGTGAACGTTGAATGCTATGCAAGAATTTTCAACCCTAAGGAAATGTTATGTCAAGAGGCCTGCCCGAGACGAACAAAATGCATTAATGTTTATACCAAAAACGTTTACCCTCGGGGTAAAGAATATTCCGGAATATGGATGGTACCTACAATAGTCTATAAAAATTGGCAAATTTATTGCTTAACTAAACTGCGGCCTGAAGTTGATATTTTTTTATCATTTTGAATTGTAATTAGTCTAAAGTCCATGGACAGTCATGTATAGTGAAACCCCGCCTTTACGACCAACTGTCAAAACGGCCACCCCTGATACGGCCACTATTTATGTTGCGTCTGTGTTAATTGAACTAACGAAGTTCTACTGTAGTGGATCTGTAGGGGATCGGGTAATCTTCGAATTACGCGCTTCGAGTTATGCGCTTCGAGTACCGACTACACAACATGCATTCCAGCCCCGCTTTATTTACTCGACAAATAAATGTGCATACTTAGGATAAGAAACTAATCAGTTGGAAACTAACAAAAAACAAACGGCATGTATCAAAAAGGGAGAACTTCCTGAGATTTCCTTGCCTTGCAATAATGGCAAATGTAAAATGTAACACTGAAATCAAAGAGCCGATATAAATGTATTATAGTATTGTAAAAAGCTTTTTGTTTGCTTTTGTTGCAAGGCATAGACCTTTTTGGTCTGACACTATTTGTTTGAATTCGTGCATTTTAAAGGGCTACTTGGACGAAAATTGCGAAACATTAGAAAAGACTTGGAAATCAAATAGACCTATCCATATGGGTGTAATAATCATGAAGCAACAGATTACAAGAAAATATTCATGCAAATCCTTAATTTATTAAAATAATTTGGGCAAAAAATGTTGGAGTAGATGACGTCATCTACTCAATCCTTTTGTTCTTCCATCTTTTGAATCAAAATTTCTCTGATGTGGGATAATTCCAAGACAAATATTTTCCCGCAATTGTTTTTAATAGATATAAATGAGTCATATATTTGTATTGCTCGAAGTTTTGAAATAAGGCCATTTTCATGCAAGTAGCACTTTAAACAATAGGTGGAATAGGTGGAACCGTCTTTTGTAATTTGTAGGCTAAGGGCTGACATTTGTAAATTTAAAACTTGATATATTTTTTATTTATTTGATAAAATTATCTTTTGAAAAAGAAGAGTGATTTTCCTTCGTTTGATTGAACAATAAAAACCGTAAAAACAATGAGCTGTTTTATATATTGATTTTGATTTAAAAGCCTGAACTCGAAGACACTAAGTTGCTTTAGTTGCATCGAGTTTCGAAGACACTAATGTATGTTAGTTGTATCGAGTTATGCGCTGGGCGTGACCTTATCGTTCACTGATGTTGCATGGATACCAGAGAAAAATAAAAAAAGTGAAAAAGATTCTGAAATGTCCTGCTTTTCAAGTAAGACGGCATAGTGCATCTTGCAAAAGACTGTCACAATCATTTGATTGCTGTGCCGGGATTTTGTTGTTAGAAGGCTAAATCTGCAAGAACAGTTTGGCTAAATAACATTGTCTTTTGTCAAGAAATGGCAAAATTGTAAGTTAATTTAAGTCTAAGAAAGATTCACCGGATTTTATTTTGTATTTGGTACATTATATGGAAAATCGAAAACTGTGCGATTTTAGGCAAAAGTGCAGGATCGCACGTTCGCACTTAAAGCTTCACCATATATGTGTCTTTGCAATAAGTAAATAGCATTTTCAAATACTGCACTTATAGAGCACTGACTTCATGCAGTAAAGAGTATATAGTTAGCAATCATAAAAATTGTTTGACTACTTGTATTTGTAAGTCAAATTTCACATAAAAAGACACTAATACAAATCCAAATAGATCTTATTTAATTGTAACCATTGGGTGCATGATTTTAAATTGCTGTAAGACTCCTGAAGACGCCTTAAGTCGCCATAAGACGCCCTAAGTCGCCAAGGGATCCCATCAAATTATCATCCAAATTTCCTTAAGTCGCCTTAAGACGCCTTAAGCTGCCACAGTGCCCTTCCCAATTTACCCTCATTGTTTCTTAAGTCACCTTAAGTCTCCTTAAGTTCCCTTAAGTTGCGGCGACTTATAAAGGCGGCTTTCTGGCCCGGAGTATGCATTGGTCAATGACAAGAGTGTCGTGAACAGCTATTTTGATATCTCATTTTTAGATACGCTCAATAGGCCATATGCATTATAGCGTAACTTTACAACAAATACCAGAGAGACCTTCGCATTTTCATTGTTATTCAGATTTTTAATCCCCTTGGAGATTAATAAAACCATTGGCACTAATTGCACTACAAAAGAAAGTTTGCAAAGCATTCTGGTAGTTGTAGTAAATGACGCCATAATGCAAATCGGCAATTGTCCTAAAAATAAACTCTCTTTTCGCGGTTGATTGGTTGGGAAAAATCCACAATAAAAAAGGCGAAAGGCTACGATATCCTTCAGTACAGCCCAGAAACATCAAGAGAATCATCGAGACTCAGGTGAGTGTTACACTTTGACTTTTTGGTTTCGCCAAGCAAGTGAGTGATTTCACTCAAATTCTAGACTGAGTTTATCGATTTTGGCATTGCATTTTATAGTTTAATATATTAAACGAGAGTTTGTGGCTAAAATGAGTACTTTTTCAGAATATCTACTCAGAATTGAACATCTTTATTCATGTTTTCTTAGCTTAAAAAGTAATCGAGTTAGAATCCGAGCGGAAGAAAGAGGGTTACGCTTTTAGTTTTCACATCCTACTTTTGCTCCGTAGCTTCAATAGGGTTTTATTCAACAACAGTGTTTCTTTCAGTGGTCGAAACTTAAGTAGCATCTTATTTTTTGTTCAAAAATTATCTATGATCACGGATATCTGTTATTAAAAGACTAAATTGTTATTTCCTTTATTTTTCAGTAGTTTTTGATCTCAGCAAAAATGCACCGTTCTTTGATTGTGTTGATGATCATTGTATTGTTGACGACAACTCTGCATGAAAGGTAACATCTACATAGTTCCAGCACTTGGCAACGTTCATTGKGTTACTAGCTGTAWATTAGTATGAGGTCTCATTGACTAGTAACCTTTATACGAACACTACGCCAAGCCGACCTCAATGCTGKTGAGATGAGCCCTGGCCACACCACCGGGAACTCTGTGCCCTACTCTTAGTCGAATAGTGGTATGGGTTCTTTAACGTCCCTCTGATGCTAATGAGAAGTGTAGAGAGACGGGACCTCCGATTTAACGTCGTTATCCGAGAGGACGTGAAGATCTTACCATTTGCAGATGGAGAAACAAAGRCAGCAACTTCTACTYAAWTATTTTAAGACCCTGAGTATTGGTCCGGCCAGGGTTTGAACCCACGACCTACCGCATTGTAATCCGATGCTCAACCAACTGAGCCAAACGGTTTGCGGTAACAACATATTTTAATTTCTATGGTCCTATACAAGCGTTTAAAGAGCATCTTGTTTTTCTCTGTCTTATCTACAATGTATCTATTTGTTGTTTTTATTAACAGCGAAGGGTGGCGAAGACGAAGAAGGCGACGAAGAAATGRTCTTACATCCGAGGACGCCGAAGAATTCAAGCAGAGACAAGAGAATCGTAAACTGGCGAATGAACGAGAAATTTACGAAGACGACCAATATCATGACCCAAAGGTTAATTTTCACTGAACAAAAAATCGGTCTTTGATGTAAATATTTCTTGCATCTGAGCATAATCAATCAAAGCTCGATCGGCAATGCACATGCATTTTGTATACTTTTGCTTTTTAAAACATCTCCTACAGGATTGTTTGATGCAATCCATACAATCCAAAATCTGCATTAGTTCTAAAGTAATTAGTTGAATTGTAAATTATTCATACAACACAAAGATAAGAATAAAATACTTTGAAAGACTTTTCTTCGTGATCTTTGACTATGCTTCAGTACTAAGTAGGGAGGGAAATACATTTTATCTAATTCAACTATATACAGAACTTGTAACATCAAGGCCAACAACTTAACATGTACGAATAGTATTTTTTGCATATCACAGGGATACCAGCATTAAGGTTAAGTTTAAATCAGGGGTTAGGTGTGGCGACCCAAAAATACAAAGCGCGTCTAAATGAATGAATTCACGATATTTTCTACTCTTGTCCAGTGACCATAAACTATTTACCCAGGGCGACAATGAGCATAAATGAAAATATCTCTGCTCAGTGTTTTACTAAAATGTTTTTAAAAAGGGTCTCTTTTGCCATACCTCCAGGTGCGATATCTAGTAAAATGTCTTTAAAAAGGGTCTCTTTTGTCATACCTCCAGATTCGATATCAAATAAACGAAGTAACGCTTCCTCAATGGGTTCGGTTATTAAGCAACAATTCTAATATACATAAAATACACGATTTTTATGTTTTTCTTGCTGATACAATAATTAATTATTATAAAGAATTTCACCACCGTTGGATTGTCATACAATTTACAACCATAATAAGACGTTTACAAATCATCGATAAGATTCAGTTTCTTTCACGCCATAAAAACTATTATTCACAGAAATCCCTCCACCTAACGGTACTAACATCACCCAATAAACATGATATTTCATTAATATATTTATAAAAAATCTCAACTAACGTTTTGAAAGGTAAAGATAATAAAAGTTTTCCTATAAATGCTAAAAAACGTACGCCTACTAGTTTCGCATTTTCATTTGTTATTCAGATTTTTAATTCCCTTGGAGATTAATAAAACCATTGGCACTAATTGCACTACAAAAGAAAGTTGGCAAAGCATTCTGGTAGTTGTAGTAAATGACGCAAATGACATTTGTAAAATTATTAAAAGAGTGTCAAATGCAGTAATGCGCAAATTTCGAAAACCCGGCAATCAAGCATTTCAAATAGCGCGCAAAACCTCAACATTGGTCTTGTGTATAATGTTCATTGAGAGATTACGGAATTAAGTCCAGATGACATTCCTAAACATGCTTTAAAAATGAGCAAGAACCTTTTAAAATATTATTGAATGAATAAACAAAGAAGTCAGCTATTAAGGAAAGCCATTGTCATCTCCACCACAAAGAGTTTATACAACTGAGCAATTGCCCTAAAAATAAACTCTCTTTTCGCGGTTGATTGGTTGGGAAAAATCCACATTACTTTATTTTTCAGTAGTTTTTGATCTCAGCAAAAATGCACCGTTTTTTGATTGTGTTGATGATCATTGTATTGTTGACGACAACTCTGTATGAAAGGTAGCAAAATATTTTAATTTCTATGGTCCTATATACAAGCGTTTAAAGAGGATCTTGTTGATCTCTGGCTTATCTACAAGAATGTATCTATTTGTTGTTTTTATTAACAGCGAAGGGTGGCGAAGAAGAAGAAGGCGACGAAGTCGGCAAAGAAATGGTCTTACATCCGAGGACGCCGAAGAATTCAAGGGGAGACAAGAGAATCCTAAACTGGCGAATGAATGGGAGCTAAATGACTCACCAAACATGCGAGAAATTTACGAAGACGACCAATATGATGACCCAAATTAAACCTCTTAAAGGTTAATTTTCACTGAACCAAAAACAGTAACCTTTTTATCGGTCTTTGATGTAAATATTTCTTGCATCTGAGCATAATCAATCAAAGCTTGATGCAATGCACATGCATTTTGTATAATTTGCTTTTTAAAACATCTCCTACAGGATTGTTTGATGCAATCCATACAATCCAAAATCTGCATTAGTTCTAAAGTAATTAG